TCAGTGCCAGGGAGGTCTCTGCTTTCTGGAGAGATGGGGGCCCATTCAATTTCCAATGGTGAAGGGTGGGGATGGGGACAAGAAAAGGGGGACAGAGGAGGACGGGAGGGACAGAGAGAGACAAAGAGCATCTGGGGAGGGGATGTGCCTCCGTGGGTAATAAACACACCCGTCTGTAAATGAGAGGATCTATTTGTATCTCCCGGCTCCCAGCTTTCCTTATTTATATGGAAATATGGAGGGAACATGTGCCTGTTCTGAGATGTATCACTGGGGCCTCACATTAAATATATTTCAATTTAGCTGACGCCAGGAGTGGTGAAGTGACTCTGGGGAAGCGGTGTCAGCTTGCTCTGCTGATAGTCCCAGGGCCAATGGTGGCTTTTGGGGGAGTGGGTCATTGGGGGATGGTCGGCCTGATCTGCTTCCCACCTGAGTACCCTACCCCCATTGTCTTTGGGCATTTCGGGAGCAGAAAATGTGCCTGGTGCCCCGAGGACTCATTGGGAAGGGGTGGGGGCTGTCTCCCCAGGTCTCAGGGGTTTCTGGAGTTCCTTGCCATCTGCAGAAGATCAGAGCAGCTCCTAATCCCCAGGCACTGGGGGGTGGGACTCTCACTGCCTCGGGTCCAGTCTGATGGGGTGGGGATCTGTCTCCATGGTCATGGCCATCATTAAACCCAGGCTGCAATGACCCATGCCTCTGTAAGTCCTCAGGGCTTTTGTTTGTTAGTTTGAGAGAGGGTCTCACTCTGTTGCCCAGGCTGGAGTGCAGTGGTGCAGTCACAGCTCACTGCAGCCTCAATGTCATGGGCCCCATTAATCTTCCCACCTCAGCCCCCCAAATAGCTGGGATTACAGGCACATACCATCCTGCCTGGCTAATTTTTGTATTTTTTATTGAAAAGGGGTTTTTTCATGTTGCCCAGGCTGGTCTTGAACTCCTGAGCTCAAGCGATCCATTCACCTTGGCCTCCCTAAGTGATGAGATTACGGGTGTGAGCCCCTGCACCCAGCCTGCTGCCAGCTTTTATAGGAGCGATTCTTTCCTTTCTCGTTTCCCTAATCTCTGGAGGCAATTAGGGGAAGACCAGAAACAGAAGTCAGGGCGATAGAGACTCAGAGCTCAGTGAGCCCAGCCCCCTCGTTTAACATGAGGGTAAATTGAGGCCAAGAGAAGGACGGTGACCTGCCCACCTGTCTGGTCCGTGGTAGAGCGGGTCTGGAGTCCAGGCTTCTGCCCTGCCCCGCTTGGCCGGGCCCAGGCCACCGTGCTGCTGCTGCGGCTCTACTTTGTTGACTCTCAGGGGCCCCTGCAGCTTGAGGCCAGACCTCGTAGTTTTTGGCCCACCAGCTGTTTTCCAGCCTGTGGAATGGGGCTGGGAGCGTGGGGTGTGGGGTGTGGGTGGAGAGCTGTGACTGAGAGGTGTCTGGGAGGGGCTCAGGCAATGGGCAGGGGCAGAGGAAGCTTGGGATGGGCTTGGAGAGTGGGACCAGTAGAGCAGCAGGCAGGGCGCCAGGCCTAAGGCACTTCAGGGAACACAGCGCCGACCCAAAAGCTGTGCTGTGGGCTCGGCACCACCAGGGTGCTTCGTCTGCAGGAGCGAGCTGCTTAACAGGCTCTGTGGTCAGTCAGGCCTGAGAGCTCTGGCCAGGGCACAGCCACGACGTCCCAGCTGTGGCCTGCTATTCCATTTTTTCATCTCAGTCCTTTGGAGAAGGGGCTACTCCAGCCCGGGCTATGAGCGACAGCCCACCAGGGCTGCCCAGTGAGGCTGGGCAGGCTGTGCACTGCACAACTCCACGACACCCTTTTAATGGTCACAGTACCAGTGGTGTTCCGAGGAGTTGTGCAAAGCAGTGGCCAGGCAGGTCGTCTGATGCCCTCCTTGTTTTTAGGTAAAATGATGGGGATCTCTTCATTTACTCCAAGCACCGGTTGCAAGCTCAGTGTTGAATTTGGCTGATGGACTTGGGCAGGCATCTCCGAAATAAGAGTGATCTGAAAAAGCAAACTGTTGCCCCCAACTCTGGGAAGCTAAGAGAGAGGGAGCCATCTATATCCTGTTTGTTTCATCCCACTCCTTTGGAGAAGGACTCCAGCCCAAGCTATGAGGGATGGCTCACCAGGGCTGCCCAGATTAACCGACTGAGTGTGTGAGTGTGTGGGGAGGGCCAGAGAGGTTGGAGAGACCTGAGTTAGTCTCGTTTAACGCTAGAATGAAATTTCTAGCCGATTTTTTGAAAATCCACTCTTTTACGAGAGGGACTTGTGGGGAAGTCCCTTGCTGCTTCAGCTCTTGGGGTGGGGAGGGAATATGCCCATTTTCTCCAATACCCAACCCCACCTGTGAGCCTTCCTAGGCATCTCCGCCTCCCCCCACTGACCCCCGCTTCCATTCATGCATGTTCTTCAGAGCCAGGAACGCTGTGTCTTTTTTTTTTTTTTTTTTGATATGGAGTCTCTCTCTCTCTCTCTCTTTCTCTCTGTCTGTCACCCAGGCTGGAGTGCAGAGGCACAATCTTGGCTCACTGCAACCTCCGCCTCCCAGGTTCAAGCAATTCTCCTGCCTCAGCCTCCCAAGTAGCTCGGATTACAGGCTCATGCCACCTTACCTGGCTAATTTTTGTATTTTTTAAGTAGAGATGGGGTTTTACTATGTTGGTCAGGCTGGTCTTGAACTCCTGACCTCGTGATCTACCTGCCTCGGCCTCCCAAAGTGCTGGGATTATAGGCGTGAGCCACCTCACCTGGCTGGAACTCTGTGTCTTTAAAGAGATGGCAACTTCTCCTCTTTTGCAGCCTGGGCCTGGCTGGCATTTCCAAGGTGCATGAGTGGTCCCTCCCCAGCTCCTGTGGGCTCCCTTCTGACCTGGGGCAGGCTCAGCTGTCAGGGGTGCCCAGCCAGTGTGACTTATATCAGTGTGGGAACGCAGCAGCAGTGGCCTGGCTGGCCGCAGCCAGGGAAGAAGAGCTGAAGCTAAGCAGAGGTGTGAGAGCAGCTGTGGTGGTGCAGGGCTACCGCTGCCCCTGCCCAGCCCCTCTCTGCTCCCTCTCTCCTCTCCCTGTTCTGCCTCTTCTCAGTGGCCTCTCTCATCACCTTCCTGGTGCTGTGACATTGGTCTGCAGGTGGGGCCTGGAATTCTTGCCTGAGTTGGGGATGCTGAGGCTCAGAGCCATGGGATGACTGTGTGCTGGTCACACGGGAGTCAGTGGGTGGAGGCTGGTGAGAGCTCACGCAGTGCCTGCCTCCCAGCCCTGCCTGTCCCTTTGAGCCAGCTGGGGTATTCGGGCTCCTTCTTTCCTGAGAAGTGGATGCTGGTGGTGCTCATACCCTCGGCCCTTACAATTCCAGTGCACACGGACCAGACCTCCAGCCGCCAGCATCTGTGTGGCCTTGCCTGGAAGCCTTCTTTAGCCACCCCATGGTGGGGCGGGGAGGGGGAGTGGGGAAAGTGCCAGAGCAGGATGGTCTCTGGAACAGAGCAGCCCTCACCCAGAGACTGGTGGGAGAAGGTGTTTGAATGCCTCAGTCCCCTCGCCCTCCCCAGTTGTGGTGACTGCAGCGTGCTCTACACGGTCTCGGGCCTCCCCCACAATGCTGAGCTTGTGCCCCCGGGTGGTAACATGCCAGGCAGTGCAACTTTCACAGCTTCCCCCGCTTCCCTGTCTCTCTTCATCACTCTCCTGCTGGGGTTTCCATCAGCTCTTGGTTAAACTACTTACCGTCAAACCCTTGTCCCAGGTGTGGCTTCTGGGGAGCCCAACCCATGGCATCCTCCACTGGGCCCCTGGACTGGCAGCCTGGAAGCGTGGAAGGTTTCTGTCCCCAGGTGACTTGGCTCATTTTGGGGAGTGCTTTTAAGCCCGACCCATGGTGGTTTTCGAGGAGCTGAGTTGGGGATTTTAGTGCCTACAGCCCAGCTCCTTATGGACTGTTTGGGGGGGGCAATGTGACGCCTTCAGGTTTAATTAAAAAGGAAGGCGAGAACTCACTCCTGCACACTGGCACGTGCGGCACTAATGATCAGAAATGATGAGAAAGGAAGCCGTGGAGGAGTGCAGGCTGCCTAATGGGATCTTGGTCGAAGCGCCTCATTTTCCATTTAATTCTGTTCTTCACAAGGTCTCCCCGACCCAGGCTGGGAGCAGAGGGAAAAGCAGCCGCCTCGGCCCTAGGGAACCTGTCCTTGTCAGTCGACCTTTGGGAACCCAAAGACCAGCTTGAGATTCAGGACACATGCATTATGATTTCCTACCCGAGGGTCCAGGGAAGGGGGATGGGGAAGAGATGGGGTCAGGGCCCAGAGACCGGGCAGGAGGAGGGCTGGGGAAGCCACAGGGTCCTGGGCTCCTGAACACAGGCTCCCAACTGACCCACATGCTCGGATCCATGGGGAGCAAGGAAAGTGCAGATTCCCGGGCCCTGGGCCCCAGATAGTTGAACTGGCAGATCTAGACCAAGGCCCAGAAATCTGAATTTTAACAGCCTGGCCAGAAGATTCAGATGCTGCTGAGCGATTGGCCACCCTTCTAGGAACCCCGATCTAGAAGTTCCACCTGGAGCTTGTGTTGGGGGGCCCTGGGGCTTTTGCCTCAGTGCTGGGCTTTCCCTGCCATCTCATGGACATGAGGGTTGTTGGGGCCCAGGGCACCTCAAAGACGACATCTAAAGCTCCAGTTTACAGTTGACAGAATTGAGGCCCAAAGGGCTTAGGAAATGATCCCAGTGTCTCACGGCTGGTGGGGAACCGGGCTGCCCAGGGTTCTGCACTTCACGATGAGAACCATGATGCTGTTCTCTGCACCGCAAAGCAATGCAGCAAAGGGGTCAGAAATGCCTGGGAAGATGGGGGTGAGGCTGGGGTCTGCTGTTGGTGTTGGTGTTGGGGCTTTGGGGCCAGCTTTGTCTGAGCTGCCCCGGCCTGGACACCAGGTGGCCTCAGGTGGCCTCCAGGCTGCTCGGGCCTCCCCTAACCATACCCACACTCTGCCCACAGTGATGGGGGGCCCTGAGTCCCGCGGTGTCCTGCGCAAGATGAGCGACCTGCTGGAGCTGATGGTGAAGCGCATGGATGCACTGGCCAGGCTGGAGAATGGCAGTGAGCTGCACCGGGCCGGCGGCGACCTGCACTTTCCCGCAGACAGGTGAGGGGATGTGGGGAGGAGGCACACGGAGCTGGGGATTGGTGGCACCTGCCACTCTGCCCAGGGTGCTGCCCGTCATCTCCTTTTGTGAATCTGGAGAAAATTTTGGCCACATGGTCATACAGTCCAGAGCGCATTTCTACCACCCAAATTTAATAACCGTTAACATTTTGTCGCATTTGTGGCCTGTTTTCCTCTTTAAATAAAACATCACAGATGAAAACTGAAGGGCCCTTTAACAACTCCTCCCTAGAGACAAGTGCCTCCCTGAAATTGATGTTTTTCCAGTCCATTCCAAGCACATTTGCACATATGTTTAACACACACACATTATAAATGCATAGTGTGTGATTTTAACAAATCATGTAAGTGGCATCTCACAGTACATATTCTACTGCCTTTTTTTTTTTTTTTTTTTTTTGTCGCCCAGGCTGGAGTGTGGTAGCGTGATCTTGGCTCACTGCAACCTCCACCTCCCTGGTTTAAGCAATTCTCCTGCCTCAGCCTCCTGAGTAGCTGGGACTACAGGCATATGCCACCACACCCAGCTAATTTTTATATTTTTAGTAGAGACGGGGTTTCACTATGTTGGCCAGGTTTTCGAACTCCTGATCTTGTGATCCGCCCACCTTGGCCTCCCAAGGTGCTGAGATTACATCTACTGCCTTTAAAAAATTTTTAAAAAAATGTTTTTTGAGACAGTCTTACTCTGGGCTGGAGTGCAGTGGCACAATATTGACTCACTGCAACCTCTGCCTCCCAGGTTCAAGTGATTCTCATGTCTCAGCCTCCTGAGTAGCTGGGATTACAGGCGTGCACCACCACGCAGGTTAATTTTTCTGTTTTTCAATAGAGATGGGGCTTCACCATGTTGGCCAGGCTGGTCTTGAGCTCCGACCTCAGGTGATCCACCTGCCTTAGCCTCCCAAAGTGCTGGGATTACAGGCGTGAGCCACCGTGCCTGGCCCATACTTTCCTTTTTTTTTTTTTAATGACGATTTTGAGCTCTGTGTTGAGGGGCATGTGTGGTTACTAATGTATCCCTGGCCATTTTTGCCAAGTAGAACTTTCTGGCTTGTTTATTCTAAATATTCTTCTACTTCGGCCAGGATGTCTGAGAGCCCAGAGTCTTGCTGCTCTCTTATGAATACCAGCAGCATCTCCAGAGACGTATGTAGTCTGACATCCAAGTCATGTGTATATAGGCATCTCCTGGACCTCAGGGAACAGGAGTGCGTGAGGTCAGGCTGCCCTGACTGGGAAGCCCTGGTCCCTAGAGGTGGGTGTGGAAGGAGGGGGCTTTGACCCCACCCTATTCCAGGGAGATGAGCTCCACTTTCCATCTTTTACATACTGGGGTTCTTTGTGAGATTGATGTGCTAAGTGTATTCTAGCTGCTAAAAATTAAGCTTGAAATGCACTTTAGACAATTTGTAGAAAAGCTATTTCTCAGCCAACGTGTGTGATGAAAAGCCAAAGCTCCCAACGGAGTTGGGAGAAATAGAGGAAAATGATGACCCACAGGAGATCACCGTGCCCATGGGAGGCTTGGAGGGATGCCTGCCTGAGTCAGGCCTGAAGTACAGTGCACCCATGTGGACTGGTGTGGGATCCTTTGCCACGTAGCCTGCTGGTGCTGGGCTGCTGTCTATGGGGCCAATCTCTAACTGGCCTTGCCGACTGAGCAAATGTCCTGGATGCCTGGCAGGCCAGCCTGCTGTGAGCGTCATTACCCTCACATCAGCTGACATTTACTCAACGTGCACTGAGCACCTGGCATGGTTCCTACTGCGTAAGCTCCGTGATCTTACCCATCTCACAACTGTCTTATGGTTTAATCTTCAATGAATGATTTAATTAAATCTTTACTCTCCCAGGAGAGGAAACTTTAATCTACCAGAGGAGGAAACTGAGGCACAGAGAAGTTCAGAAACTCACCTAAAGTTGCACAGCTGTGAGTGGCTGGACCTGGCTTTGGGTTCAGGCTGACTGGCCCCACAGCCCATGTTTCTAAGCACTGTGCTCTTGATGGTTTATTAAACATATGGTTATATGTGCTATGGTTTTTGTCCCTTTTTAAGAGGTTTTATTAATTTATTTATTTTGAGATGGTGTCTTGCTCTGTTGCCCAAGCTGGAGACCAGCAGTGGTGCAGTCTCAGGTCACTGCAACATCCGCCTCCTGGGTTCAGAGGATTCTCCTGTTTCACCCTCCTGAGTAGCTGGGATAACAGGCGTCTAGCACTATGCCTAGCTAATTTTTGTATTTTTAGTAGAGATGGGGTTTCACCGTGTTGGCCAGGCTGGTCTTGAACTCCTGACCTCAGCTGATCTGCCCACCTTGGCCTCCCAAAGTGCTGGGATTACAGGTGTGAGCCACTGTGCCTGGCCTCTAAGAGTTTTCTTTCTTTCTTTTTTTTTCTTTCTTTCCTCTCTTCCTTTCTTTCTTTCTCTTTCTTTCTCCTTCCTTTCTTCTTTTTTCTTTCTTCTTTCCTTTCTTTCTTTCGAGTTTTCATATCAATTATTTCACGAATCAGAAAAAAACATCCTTTGTTGATCTTGCACTCTCGTTTCTGGTCTGGAAAATGTAAGCTCGAAAATTGCGGTCCTGGAACTGAGGATGGAATGTGACACCGACATGAAGTGTCTAGTGCAGTGCTTGGCCCACGGTGGGGCTTGTCACCCCCAGGAAGCCAGGCCTCCTTGGTGGGCTCCACTGCATCGTGCTGGGTCCCTGGTCAGAGGCGATTTCACCTTCCAGGGATTTAACACCTAACAGACGGGATGAAAGAGACTTGCCCATGCACTGGGGAGTGTCAGGCTGCAGGTGCTGGGGGCACAGTGATGAGCTGAGAGCGCCTTGTCCTCATTCTTCTGGAGGGGGAGACAGGGAATAACCAGGAAGAAGAAGCAAACAGGATCATTTCAGATCCTGAGCCATGCTCCAGAGACTGGAGAGTGAGTGACTGGGAAAGGGGCTGGCTATGCCAGAAAGGCCCTCCCAAGTCTGTGATATTTAAGCCTGAATCTGAAGGAAGGGGAGGTGTCAGTTGCAGGTGAGGAGCTGGGAGCAGAAAACCTGAGGTGGAGAGAGCAGCAAGTGCGAAGACCCTGGGGTAGGAACGAGATTGTTCTGTTGGAGGGAAAAAACCAACAGGAAGGCCGGGCATGGTGAGGGGCGGGAGAGATCCATGGGGCCAGGTTATGGGCTTTGTCGGCTACGGGATGCCATTCCGAGAGCCATGGGAAGTTACTGGATTTATTTATTTTTTATTTATTCATTTTTATTATTATTATATTTTGAGTCTAGCTCTGCCACCAAGGCTGGAGTGCAGTAACGGGATCTCAGCTCACTGCAGCTTCTGCCTCCCAGGTTCAAGCAATTCTACCTCAGTCTCCTGAGTAGCTGGGATTACAGGTGTTTGCCACCACACCCAGCTAATTTTTGGTTCTTTTGAGACAGAATTTTGCTCTTGTTGCCCAGGCTAGGGTGCAATGGTGCGATTTTGATTCACCACAACCTCTGCCTCCTGGGTTCAAGTGATTCTCCTACCTCAGCCTCCTGAGTTTCTGGGATTACAGGCATGTGCCACCACACCTGTCTTATTTTTTGGAATTTTGGAGTTTCTCCATGTTGATCAGGCTGGTCCTGAACTCCCGACCTCAGATGATATGCCCACCTCAGCCTCCCGAAGTGCTGGGATTATAGGTGTGAGCCACCGTGCCAGGCCTAATTTTTGTATTTTTAGTAGAGACAAGGTTTTGCCCTGTTGCTCAGGCTGGTCTCGAACTCTTGACCTCAGGTGATCTGCCCGCCTCAGCTTCCCAAAGTGCTGGGATTATAGGTGTGAGCCACTGTGTCTGGCCTATTGGATTTATTTTTTTAAAAAGATCGCCCTGACTGCTGTGTGAAAATTGGATTAACAGGGTGGCAGGAGGGGAAGTATCAAGGCTGTGGTAGAGATGGGGAGTGCCGGCAAAGGGATCTGAGCTTCCCTGGAAACCCCCCCGGGCATGAGGCCATTTTCCTGTCTGTGTGCACGTATCCCTCTTCTCTGACACTGTGTGTACCCTCAGATCCAGCCCCTGCCCCTCCGGCTCCTTCTCCCTCGTGTCCAGCCCCTTGCCCCTCTCATTCTGTCAGATGCCCCTGTCTGCAGGCCTGTTCCCAGGTCAGGAGCAGGCCTGGTTGGTCTCTGTTGAGGATGTGGCCGCAGGCAGCAGAGCTGAGGGGCCGGTGGACCTCGGTTCCAGCTCTGGCTTCTTGAGCTGGGGGTGCTATTTCGGCACATCCGAGGTCTCTGATTTTTTCCAGTCCTGGCCCGTCCCTCCCTCCCTTGCCCTGCCCTTTGTCTCCTCCTGGGGAAGGAGGGAACTTGTTCGGGGAAGGGGAACACGTACCACCTCCCAGCTCCCTCCTGGGAAATAGCAACCATCCATCACAACCAGCAGAGCCCATCATACCCACAGGCACAGCTGTCAATTTCAGGGGCACTGTGGTTACTGGATTTAGGGAGAAAAACTGTGGCTGTGTCCAGGGCCCGTGAAAGCTGCCTGCTCACACTCCCCTCCTGCACAGACACTCCTGCCCCCACCCCACGCTGAACCTGACTCCAGGTTTACCAACCTGCAGCTAGACCAGCAAAAATCCTGCGGAAGTGCCTGCTGCTGTGTTTCCAGAAAACTCTCGGGTATCTGCACTTGGATTCTCCGCTTAGAAATTTCCTGTGGCTTAAAACACACCTCCACTGCTCTTCTCCAGCCGTTTCCGAAGCTTCTGGGCTGCCGCCTTCCACATGGCTGGTGTGTCCTCGGGAAAAGTAAATTTGTGATTTTAGCCTAGGAAAACATAATCAGGGAGGCCGATTTGTTGCAAATGGCATCCTATTATGTATCCTAAAGCCAAATAGTAATGATCTTTGATTTTTCCGTAAGGCCGTGAAACCACTGAAATTTGAGGCTGTCTGGATTGAGGAGGTCAGTCCATATTTGTTGAATGCC